GAGACTACTTACTATAATAATTTGAATGTTCTATTGTTACTTTATATCAGTCATTTAGACCGTTTACGGTCATTAATATATATGGTATATAATGAGTGTTAAATAAAGGTTTTAGTATTATAAAAAAGTAGCAGTTGTAGTTTTTTTGAGAAATTAAAAAGAGTATTTTTATATTTATATAAGGCTACTCTGCTGTAAGTAGTCGTAATAAGAAGGCTGAGAGCAATCGTCTCATAGAAATCTGTAAATGTATGGAAGGATAATTTTGCATCTATATATGGCATCCAAATAATGATGATCAGAATATTTTTATGTCATCCTATTTATGAAACAGTTTTAGTGAGTTGTTGTTAATGATTAAAACTATTGACATAAATAAATATTCAGTAATAATTATTAAAAAAGTAATGGAATACATGACTACTGATTTGTGTTGATAATTATACTCGTAATTAATTAAAAATGATCTTCCAGTTTTTTTTAATTATTTCAATTTAATAAAATAAATTAAAAGTTCACTTGACTATTTTATTAACATTAAAATAGAAGATATATTTCAGCTAGTTTCGTACTTTTTAGAGAGGTAACAATATATTTCAATATTTCACTTGTTAAGTACATTAGAAATTTTGAGTTAGTCAAGACAATTTGTCAGTATATAGTCAGTATTCACAGAAATGATGCTTTTTCAGTCAAGATCCCAGCGGTGCTTATATCTACGTTTGTAGGGAATTTTATTTTTGTATTTCTGAATTAGATCGTCATAGTTCGAACGCCTATTACGTTTCTTGTGACACAAAGCAGTACTAGGTTGGTAACCATTAGAGAAGGAATCACTTGAATCACTTTCAGAAGAATCATTTTCAGAACAAGCATTTTGAGATACTGAGTGTTTTCCACTTTTCTTATTATCAACACTAAAAAGAAATGTCCCATATGGTAAAGGCGAATTAGTTTCTATAACATATTTGTAACCATCGCTCATTTCTTTTTTCTTTTGTGGTAAAATCACAATAGCTTTACGTTGTTGTTCTTTTATTTTGACTTCTTTCTTTCGTTTATCAGGTATTGAGCTATTGCAAGATTCATTATCAGTATGCATTTCTTTTTTAAGCCGTCTAATTTTCTTTCTAGCTTTTCCCTTTTGTCTTGCTGGTAGCCCTGATAATTTCATTCTATACTTTTTTCCAACTTTATTACGTTTGAGACATTTCTTATTTTGTCTATGTTTTAGCTTTTCAATTCCTATACGTTCATGAAGACGACCATCGATATCTACATAACTTTTCTCAGAAAATGAATTTTTGTTAGTGTTAACTATAGTTAAAGATTGTTGCATTAGTTTCTTCACCTCCTTTTGTTTTTTTAAAAATGCACGTATATTAGCATTAGTAGAATTGAGCATGCATGCTTTTTTCCGAATTTTAACCAGTTTTGATAATCTCTTTTTACCCACTTTAGCTATTTTATTATACATAAGAGATTTCTTCTTTGGCTTACGTTGAAACTTTACAGCGGTTATTGTATCATGCCTACTAGAATCGGTTTCGCATTTACTGTTCCTATTTGAGTTTTCTGTACGCCTCTGTGTAGTTGATGACTGTTCCATGAGTTTCTTCACCTCTTTTTGTTTTTCCAAAAACGCACGTATATTAGCATTAGTAGAACTAAGTATGTAGGGTTTTCTCTGATGAGGGGCCACTTTATTGCGTTGGAGACATTTCTTTTTTTGTTTGGGTTGTAATTTTACATTGGCAAGATAACCAGCACTATTAGAATCAGTGTCCACTTTATCCTTATCTGCTTCAAAATTTTCTGTATTAGCCAGTGCAATCGATGAATTTGGCATTAGTTTCATCACATGTTCTTGTTTTTGAAAGAATGTACGTACAGGAGTGCAAGTGGACTTACTGGATTTCCATTGAAGAGGAGCCTTCTTTAAGCCTTTCTTACGATGTGTATTACTAGCCTTTAATAAGAAAGAATTTTTATTACACTTTTTTGTGAAGTATTTATTCCTGCAGTTGTACTGATACTTACATTGTCTGAATTTTTAATTTCACCGAAGTTCAGTGTGGTTTGATTTCCTGGCATACCAAAATATTGCATGCTGTTATTTGGATCAATCACTCCACCACATGTTGGACAAATTTGTGTTCCCGTAACGTTGTTAGGCTGATCTTGCCCATTTTTTTTCATGTTTATTTCCGCCATTATTTTTTGTTATCAAAATTATCTACAACCGTAAAAAAATAAAATTTTTTTTATATGAGATAAACTTTCATTTTATTTATGAGTATAATTTTTTATTTTATTTTTTTTAAAAATCGAAAACAACTAGATTAAATTTTTACTAATCTACAAGTTGATAACTGCTATGCACTTTACTAGTAATAAATTATTTCTTAGATTTCAAAGTAATGGCGATTTCGATTGGTAAATCAGGATTCAATCTAGATTTATTCTCGATCTGTCAAATTTTGTTGCTAAATCGAACATTTTTAGAGTGATCTAACATTTTTGTAGTAGTGCTAGTAGAGATTTATACTTTCCATCAAATTTCTTGTCAAAATTATCTACAAACGTAAAAAAATAAAATTTTTTTTATATGAGATAAACTCATTTTATTTATGAGTATAATTTTTTATTTTATTTTTTTTAAAAATCGAAAACAACTAGATTAAATTTTTACTAATCTACAAGCTGATAACTGCAATGCACTTTACTAGTAATAAATTATTTCTTAGATTTCAAAGTAATGGCGGTTTCGATTGGTAAATCAGGATTCAATCTAGATTTATTCTCGATCTGTCAAATTTTGTTGCTAAATCGAACATTTTTAGAGTGATCTAACATTTTTGTAGTAGTGCTAGTAGGGATTTATACTTTCCATGAACTCATATGTATATCGAATCAAATCACACTTTGTCTATTAAATCATGTAAAACAGCTGTTATTTTCAAGGTAATCTTGCTACTCTGGCAAAGTATCTAAAATGTTATAAATAAATTTCGAGTATTATACTTCTGGCCCTAGATTCAGCGATCGAAAATAAATCTATACTATAAGTGTATTAAAGGAGTATCTTGATTAAAAAAATAATCCAGATATACTAATCGAAAAAGCCATCACTAATATAATTAAATAAAATAAGTTCATCGACTTTTTTAGAGTTCTTTTGACATTACTTAAATTCCAATTTTACAAAGTTTTATGTCAGTGTTGAAATCTTTAGTCTACAACAGAACCAACTTTGATTGGTGTGGATCAAATCCAGGTGGTTCGTATTTGACCATTTGATTATATATTCCATATCTTCGATTAGGTATTGTTTTAGATTTGTCGTCACGTCGCACAGTGTGCCAAAACAAAAATTAGCTGATCAAAATTCGAAATTTTCTGAACCAGTAGAGATATTGAAATGAAATTTTCCTAAAACTTTGTTTTTGAGATGGCCTTTCTTTTGAATTTAATTTGATCCTTATCAGCTACCAGAACCCATCAAAATTTTGGGTGAAAAATGATGCACTTTTACATTTTCTTAGTTCCCTCAACAATTCTCATAGGTAGAAAGTTAAATTTTGGTGCCCAAAATACTTACATTATAATACATATTCTTCAACTTTTTCACCCAGTTTTTGTTTAATTAATAGTAGGGTAGAAGGTTTGCGATCCAAAAAACTTTATAGAGTTATCATAGGATACTACAACTGCAACTAGTATCTGCTCAAATCAGGTATTCCCGAGTGCGATTAATGTTAATATTCCAATGAAACACTTAACTATTAAATAGCTAGCTTTGTAACTAGTAATTGAAAAACAGGAGCTAGAGGAAATTGACTTCAACGAAATTAAATTTGAGTAGCTTGTCCGTTTTCTTAATAAAACAACAAATTAATAAGGTTTGGGATGGATGTACATAAGTCTTTGGACTTTAAAAGTTGTTTAAGAAAATTTTGCACTTCACATCTCGTATATATCATATAAAAGGTAGTTTGATTTTTTCTAATCACACGACAAAAGACTTGATTGAAATTTACTTATTTGAGAAAGAGGTTTTTTCGAACAGTAGTGAAATACAACAACAAAAATTTATTTTATATATTATTTTTAATTAATTGAATTTTTGGCTGTTTCACAGCTGTTTCGAGTATTGCCAAATACCCATCATCAGTGATCTTGGAAATAATTCTTGTATTTAATTATTCGTAAATAATTATTTTTTGAGACTACAAGTACCAGGAATTGAACTCGGGTCCTACCAAATGTGAAGCTCAGAATCAGCGCACCTTCATCAACTGATCCAAACTGATCCTTATTTGAGAAATAATAAATTGAAATTATTTCGAAAATATGCTTTCCAAATAAAGTAAAAATAACAATATGATAATATATTTCAATATGATTGTCTTACGAGATATAAACGAGAAAAGAGTGGAACGCTATAACAAAAAGTATGTATGCAGTAGGCGATGTATGCAGTAGGACGCAAAAACGAATTTATTTTTAATTGATCGATTTAAATTTTTTTAGCTGCGTCAGGCATATATATATATATAGCCCAAGTTGTTTCGTTAAAGTTCTTTCCTTCAAACATTGTTCTTACAATAATCATCCTTTGTGAGGCCGTATATCATCAACTATTTTAGAAAGCTCGTGGCTTAGTTCATTTCAGCTATGCTTTTCTGCAACTCTTCGATGGATACCGTTCTTCCTACTTTCGTATTCATGGCTTAAAATATGGTATTTGGTATTTAATTTTAGGAGCATGTATACATACTTTTTGAACTAGTTTTAATATAATGTGTTTTCTTATTGTTTTTTAACCTCATTAATCGTTTTTCTATTAAAAGCAGGGGCAAAATACTATATTCGTAGCTTCACATTGCAATTTTGTTGAAAAATAGACGATGGCTTTGTTGTCATATCCACCTCATTTCCTGCAATGCCCATTAAAGCTTATGAAAAGACTATGCTCCTATGCAGTATATACACACATACATATGTTTTAAAAGACTTTACCTATATCTTTGCATAAGTTGCTATTTTTTATCAAAAGTGAATAATTAAAGAGAAAAGTATACTAATAAAGACGTACCTAAAAATATTTTCTAATGAAATTTGAAAACAAAATTGAATTGAGGGCGAGAACGAACTTAATCAAATCTCATTCTCGGAAGAAAATATATGTAAATGCAAAAGTTTTCAATTTCCGCAATAGGAGACAATGGGATTGCTGATAAAATCCATAGGAGCGCGAAGAAATTTGTAATTGGATTACTTCCAATGAAAACTTCCGTCCAAATGACCACCATTAATGCGCCAAAAATACATTGAATCAAAACTTAGAAATAAAGTGACTTAAACTGCGAATGGGGTATGAAATTGTGGTTTGCAATGGTTAATTTTTAAAAGCTTCGAATATCGTCCGTTCACGTAACCAGCTTCGACCAGCTCAACGGCAACAATGTAACTTCAAGCATTAAAATAGTAAATAAATTTCGAACGGAAACTATTGCACCGAACTTTGAATGAAATGTGCAGTTTTGCCCCAAACTTGGCAGTAGCATGCCAATATCGCTACTTCCTCAACGTATCTGCAGCTCCCATTTGCACCGGTATTGATGGGGCGCGGCTGAAAGTAAAGTTAAAATTTAGGGCGTTGGTATTTTAAAACTTAATTTGCTTGCGCGTTAGTTTGTTTTGATCGTCATTCTAATATTTCCTTTACTTTATTTATATTGCGCTGCTTGCAGGAGTAGAGGTTATCCTACTTCCATGTGTTATTATCCTGTAATTTTTTATTGCTATAAACTATCAATATCTTTATAAAAATATTAAAAGTGTCTTTAAGTTAATTACTTGTAGTATTTGCAATAATTAAAGTAGTCAAAAGACACAGAAGCCATAACTATGTGACCTACGATAGGTGTTCGTATCTAATGAGCAATATTCCTGGTACTCCAAACATCTTTAGTTTCACGTTAAAGTGAAAAAATAATTTTAGCGCAATTGAATCAACTTATCGTAAGTTATATGATATGAGCTTTAATCTTAAATGTGAAATAAGAGATACTGAAATTATGTGAATGTTAATTTAAATTAAATGAAGCAATGAGAAAAGACACCAGACCTGAAATTAAACTTAATAATATAATAATTTCACAATCAAACAGCGCAGAATGTCTGGACCTGCATTTGGATAGAAGTCTGACGTGGAAAACATACATTTTTAACAAAAGAAAATCCTTTGGGATTCAATACTGAAAAATGTTTTAGCTACTGAATAAAAAATCTTCAGTATCAGTAAAAAATAAACTTATTTTATACATAAGTGTGCTAAAACCAGTGTGGATCTATGGCATTCGACTATGGGGAACAGCCTCAAGATTCTACATAGACATTCTTCAAAGATTGCATTCTAAAATTCTACGAGAAATGGTAAACACTCTATGATATGTAACTAACATCCAAATCCATCGCGACTTTAGGATAATTCGCGTAAAAGATGAAGTAAAAAAAATATTCTGAAAATACCATGAACGAATACAAATTCATTCCAACACTCTGCTTTGAAATTGATGTTCCCCTTTAAAATTTTTTAAGAGATTGAAAAGGAAAATGTCGGTTCAGATATTATAATAAAATCTTAATTAAAAAAAACGAGTAGCTCTCCACGGGGAGAACTACTTAAATTGTAAATTATAATGACATAAATCTTATTTATCAAAAAATTGTAAAATGTCAACATTATTTGACAAAATTCATATTAAATTTAAATCCAAACAAAAAAAAAGGAATTGTATGCTATTAATTTACGATAATGAGGTCGTGTATTGGCAATAACTCTATGAATAATGGCTTACAAGTGGTAAAATGTTTCCGATTAATTTGAATGTCATGCAGACTTCACATTATATAAACCAATAGAAGTTAATTTAGTTAAGTGAGATCAGTCAATCGTGGAAGCCAATGGACTGGGCAAGTACTTGAAATAATGTGACCTTTTAAAAAATATGGTTAATGATGTCATCAGCTCATAAAACACACCCAAGTTAATTCACACTAAAATGATAAAATGTACTATAAATTGTTAAAATCTTTAGTACTATAAACAGTGTTGTGACCTTTAAAATCAAATCTTCCGATTTATTTATTGCAAATACAAGAAATGATTTCATGTATAATAAAAATAATTAACAGAGAGATTTCGAAAAGTAATGAACTACAACAACAAAATTTTTTTTTTATGTCACTTTAATTAATTGAGTTTTTGGCTGACAATACAGCTGTTTCGATTATTGCCAAATATCTATCATCAGTGATTTTGAAATTATTTCTTATAATTTAACTAAATAATTTTTTTTAAGACTGCAAGTACAAAGGGTTGAACTAATGCCCTGCCAAATTTGAGGCTCAGAGTCATTGTTCATTAGTCAACTAACCGAAGCTGTACTTGACTCGAACTCGAACTTACAGTTTTCTTAATTTGCTGTAAAAGTTCATTTATAAAATCACTTGCTTCATTATATTAGAACGAAATCATAAATCAGCTGTAGAGTAATTGAGTTAATTAATTATATTTTCATTTTTATTTGTT